CTGCCTGGAGCCCACGGCGTGGGCGTGGCGCGTGACGCGCAGAGGCGACTACGTAGTCTTGCACTCGTAGCGCCGCGCCGCGAGGAAAAGGAGAAAAGCGCCGCGCCGCGGGCGGGGGGGGGGGGGGGGACGCAGGGAGCGATGGGGATCGCGGGGGTGTGGGGGGGGGAGGCAGGGAGCGATGGGGATCGCTCGGCTGAAGCGATGGCGCTCGCTTGGGAAGGCAGGGGGCGATTGCGATCGCTTGGGAAGGCAGGGGGCGGTGGGCAAGCGATTGCGATCGCTCGCGACGGCGGCGCCCGCTCCGCTGCACCCCCGCCCCTCCCCGAGCCGCGCGGCAGCGGGCGCGCGCAGCCATGGGGCCGCGTCAGCCGCGTGGGCCGCCGCCGAGCCACCTGGTCACGAAGGCGGCGGCGCCGCGCTTCGAGGCGCCGCCCGTGGTGCCGTCGAGGCTCGACCGCATGGAGTTGGCGGCGTGCCCATCGAGGATGACGGCGCCGCCGCCCGTGCCGAAGCCGCCCGTGGCGCCGCCGCCGCGCGTGGCGAGGCCGCCCGTGGCGCCGCCGCCAGTGGCGAAGCCGCCCGTGGCGTCGTCGGGTGCCGTGGCGCCCGCGCCGCTGCGGCCGCAACGCGCTCGCCGCGACGACGAGTTCGCGGCGCCCTCGCTCGATGAGAACGCCGCGGCGTCTCGTCGGTGGCTCCTCCAGCGAGCTCGCGAGCTCTCGGCGGCCCCAGCCGCCGCCGCCGCCGTCGCTGAGGAGGGCGCCGCCGCCGTCACTGAGGAGGGCGCCGCCGCCGTCACTGAGGAGGGCGGCGGCGCCGAGGAGGGCGCCGCCGCCGTCACTGGGGAGGGCGCCGCCGTCACTGAGGAGGGCGGCGACGCCGAGGAGGGCGCCGCCGCCGTCACTGAGGAGGCGCCGCGACGCCGCCGCCTCCCGCGTCGGAGGTGTGGCTTCGGAAGCGGCCGCGGGCCGATATCGAGGCCGAGGGGGGCAGCGCGGCGCACCGCTTCCCGAGGGCGCGCGGCGAGGGGTGGGACGCCGAGGCGGCGGCGATCAGGCTGCCGCCTGTTGTGCCTGAGGCACTGCGCCGTGGCGGGGAGGGCACCGAGTGGGAGATGGCGCCGTGGTGGCCCGACATCGAGGTCCACCACAGGCGATGCATGCAGTCCCTGGTCCTGGCGTTCCAGTATTGGGTCGAGGCATCGGCCCAGTACCATGCCTTTGCGGCAGAAATGCAGAGGCTGGGCCTGGACGGCTATCTGGCAGCAGCGAAGGCTTCCTACGACCAGGCGTGGGAAGATTGGACGGAGCAGGTGCAGTTCGAGGTCGCAGACGACGGCGGGGTCGACTGGTCGTGGCGGCCAGGCAGCCGCTACGACGTGGCGTCGCGGCAGCACGCGGCGGCGGCAGGAGCGGCAGAGGCAGCCGCCTCTGCGGCGGCGGGAGCGGCAGCACGCCCGCAGTGAGCGCTGGCATGGAGTGCCGCGCGCGGGCGCGGGCGCGAAGGGGCGCGGCGGACGGTCAGCGATCGCTGGGCGGAGGTGAAGCGATGGCAATCGCTTGGGAAGGCGGGGGGCGATGGGGATCGCGGAGGTAGCGATGGCGATCGAACTGTTTTAACGCGTTTTTGGCGCCAACTGCTTTAACAGATTTAACGTCGTTTTGGGCGGACGGGGGACAGTAGGAAGTGGAGGGGGAGAGCGATAGCGATCGCTGGGAGGGGACAGTAGGAAGTGGAGGAGGAGAGCGATAGCGATCGCTGGGAGGACGAGGAGGATAGCGATAGCAATGGCGATCGCGATCGCTGATCGCCGCGCGCTGCAGTCCAGCTCGCGGGGGCGCCGCCGCGCGCGCCGCGCCGCGCGCGCCGCCGCGCGCCGCCGCGATGGAGGAGGCGCGGGGGGCTCGCGCGCGGGCGCTGGACCGCCAGGTCGGCACCTTGCTGGCGCAGCTCGCGGAGGCGGAGACCTCCTCCTCCCAGCGATCGTTATCGCTCTCCCCCGCCTCCTCCTCCGCGTCCTTCCCTTCCTCCCCTCCCTCGCCTTCCTCCCCTTCCTCCCCTTCCTCCTCCTCCCCTTCCTCCCCTTCATCCCTTTCCTCCCTTCTCCCCTTCCTCCCCTTCCCTCCCCCCCTCCTCCTCCTCTCCCCTTTCCTCCCCTCTTTCTCCTCATCCTCTCCTCCTCTCCTTCCTCCCCTTCTCCTCCTCCTCCTCCTCCTCCTCCTCCTCCTCCTCCTCCTCCTCCTCCTCCCTCCTCCCCTCATCCTCCTCCTCCCAGCGATCGTTATCGCTCTCCCCCGCCTCAGGCCGTCAACGCTCAGCAGACGGAGCGGGCCCGCCAGCTCTCGCAATGGCTGGACGAGGCGGGATGCGACGACGACGACGACGACGATGTCGACGACGACGGCGACGACGAATGAGGCGGAGGTGGAGCTGAAGAAGGCGATCGAGGAGAGGGACGCGGCGCTGAAGCGGGAGACGGCGCTGAGGGACGAGAGGGACAAGCTGCTGAAGGAGAAGGAGGAGAAGGCGAAGGCGAAGGCGGAGAAAAACAAAAAAAAAAAAGGAGAAGAAGGAGAAGAAGGAGAGGGAGGCGGCGGCGAAGGAGGCGGAGGCGAAGGCCAAGGCGAAGCCGAAGGGCAAGGGCCGCGCGAAGGCAAAGGGCAAGACGTGAGCGCCGCGCCTCCTCCCTCCTCCCCCTCCTCCCTCCCCCCTCAAGCAACAGTTAGGAATACTTATAAGTAACTTACATGTACCCCTTAAGTAACTTACAGCGTGTACGCTATGGTAACTGATAAGTAACCTATATCTAACTCAGGTAAGTAGCATAAGTACAACTAAGATGCTTAGCCTACATATAGCTAGGGCGCAAGTACGCTTAAGATCTTGAAGCCTTTAAGCGGGCTCGTCCTCGATGGGGCCCCCCCCGAGGAGGCCAGCTCTCTTTGGAGCCCCGAAGCGGTGCGGCGACAGACCGTGCGGCGACCTCGAAGCCCCCAAAGACCTCTGAAGGAGAACTGGGACACACAAATATATACACACTGATAACAGGATTCCCAATCTTTTCCAATATTTTCTGGGTTTTTGTTTTCCCCCCCACTTCCCATATTTCCCCATATTTTCTATGGAATCGACGATTAATTGTGTCTGTGTGTTTTTTCCCTCCTGAACCTCACCGCACGGTCCGTCAGCGCACGGTCTTGGGACCTCGGAGGCCCCAGTCGCCCGAGACGTCCTCGGAGAACGACCCGAGTCCCAAAACCGTGCAGGGACCCCGAACCCCCACCCACTCACCGCACGGTGTGGTCACCGCCCCGTTTTGGGGGGGACCCCAAGCTCGAGGCACACTGCCTTGCGGCCCGGAGCTCTCCTCGAGGCCGACCCTCTGGATCTCTCCTCCTGAGAGGTGCGCTCCGGCCAGGATCTCGAGGCGGAGCCGGCCGTGGCCGCGGGGGGCGCCCTGGGAGGCTGGGAAAAAAAGGCCCCGAAGACGCCCCAAGGAGGAGGGGAGGGGGACTGGCGAGGGCGCAGGGAGGGGGAGGAAGGGACGGAGAGGCGGGGGCAGGAGGGGGCTGACTAAAAGGGCGTGGGGAAGCGGAGGGGGGAGGGGGGGCGATGGGGGAGGACGAGGAGCTCCTCCTCTTCATCCAACTCCTCCTCCTCCTCTTCCTCTTCCTCCTGTTTCTCCTCCACCCTCCTCCCTCTCCTCCGAAGATCGGACGGCGAGGGAGGGGGATGAGGAAGGGAAGGAGGGATGAAGGTCGAGGAGGCAGAACCAGCGAAGGAGAAGCCCGCGGGGCGCCCGTCGGTCCTCCCGCGCGCCCCCCCGGCGCTGGGCGTGGCGGGCGCGCGGGGAGAGCCATACCCCCGACGCCATGGCCGCTGCGAGGCGTCGGCCCCCCCAAAGTCTCCACCCGCTCCCCGGGACCAGCTGTTCATTCGCAGGAGGCATCTATACACCGCCACCGTGCCAAGGCAGGGCCATCCTGGGCCCAAGGATGGTGTACACGCCCTCCTGGGGCCCAGGATGGCCCTGGCCTGGCACGGCGGTGGTGTATAGATGCCTTCGTCGGATTCCATCCTGAGTCGTCTCCTGTCGGTGGGGTGCGGGAGGGTAATTAGGAGAGCACAGGGCAGGGCGGAGAATCAGCAGCTGGTTTTCCCAGGGCCCCGCAGACCTGGACACGCTAGACCAGGACACCCAACATCCCTCGAAACCAATTTTTCCAAACGGCGGCACGAACAAAATACTGCACTGCAGCATTTCCAGAATAAACCGGGACATAAGGTCCACAAGCCTGCAAGACCCCCCTGAACCCGGACACAAACCCGAATCCAGTGCAGCAAACATGCACGGGAGCTGAAAAACGTGACTTTGCAGGAAAAGATGTCGGTTCCTTGGGTTTCCGTGTCCTGGTTTATCCGTGTCCTGGTCTCCGGGGGCCTGATTTTCCGGGCGGCTCCTGGCGCCGGGAGGCGCCCGTGTACTAGTATCGAGCGATGGGCCCAGCGGCGGGGCGGAAACCAGCTGCATGCAGCAAATTTCGTAACCCCTTCTTTCCCTATCCTGTCCTCTCGTCCCGCACGATCTTGAGGGCCCCGAGGCCCGGGAGGGGCCGTCAGACGCCGAGAATAGCGAACCCCCCCCCCCGTCGTGACTTTTCGTGACCCGAGAGGGCCGGGGGAGCCTGGAGCTGGGGCGACAGCGACGACGACCACCAACGACGACGACGACGACGACGACGACGACGACGACGACGACGACGATGACGACGACGACGACGACGGAAGAGGAGGAGGATGAGGTGGAGGAGGTGGAGGATGAGGAGAAGGAGGAGTGGAAGGAGGGGGAGGCGGAAGAGGAAAAAGGATATGGGGAGGATGCTGGGGGGCAACGAAGACGATGACGACGACGACGACGATGACGACGGCGACGACGACGGCCATCACGACGACGGGCAGCGAAGCGCAGGGGCGCTCCTTTCCTTCGCGGCCGCGGCTCCCGCCGCCCCGCTGCCCGTGCTATAGCGGGGGGGGGGGCGCTGCGAAGCCAGCCTGCAGGCACGCCGCCAGGCCCCCGGTCGCCTCGTGGCCCCCAGACCGTCGTCGTCGTCGCCGTCGTCGTCGTCGTCGTCGTCGAAGTCGTCGTCGCCGTCGTCGTCGTCGTCGTCGTCGTGGCCGTCGCCGTGGCCGTCGCCGTGGCAGTCGCCGTGGCCATCGCCGTCGTCGTCGTCGTCGTCGTCGTCGCCGCCGTCGTCGCCGTCGTCGTCGTCGTCGTCGTCGTCGTCGTCGTCGTCGTCGTCGTCGTCGTCGTCGTCGTCGTCGTCGTCGTCGTCGTCGTCGTCGTCGTCGTCGTCGTCGTCGTCGTCGTCGTCGTCGTCGTCGTCGTCGTCGTCGTCGTCGTCGTCGTCGTCGTCGTCGTCGTCGTCGTCGTCGTCGTCGTCGTCGTCGTCGTCGTCGTCGTCGTCGTCGTCGTCGTCGTCGTCGTCGTCGTCGTCCGTCGTCGTCGTCGTCGTCGTCGTCGTCGTCGTCGTCGTCGTCGTCGTCGTCGTCGTCGTCGTCGTCGTCGTCGTCGTCGTTCGTCGTCGTCGTCGTCGTCGTCGTCGTCGTCGTCGTCGTCGTCGTCGTCGTCGTCGTCGTCGTCGTCGTCGTCGTCGTCGTCGTCGTCGTCGTCGTCGTCGTCGTCGTCGTCGTCGTCGTCGTCGTCGTCGTCGTCGTCGTCGTCGTCGTCGTCGTCGTCGTCGTCGTCGTCGTCGTCGTCGTCCTCGTCGTCGTCGTCGTCATCGCCGCCGTCATCGTCGTCGTCGTCTCCGCGCGGTCTGAGGAGTTTTTGGCGCGAGGTCCTCAGGGGAAGGGTTCCGACGCATCCTGAGATCACCGTGGAGAGATTTGTGTGCCTCACGGGGGAAGACTAGCTGAAGGGCCCTGGAGAAAGCGGTACATGGTGAAACCGTCGTCGTAGTCCTCGTCACTTTCAGGCGTTTGAGTCCCTGCTCGGGCCTCCAGAGGCCTGTGCCGTTAGCGATGCCAAAATTTGATTCAGATCCAGTCGCGACCATAATCCCGCACCCCTTGTCGTGGTCCTGATCCTCCTGCAATCCCTTCACCGAATTGCTTTCGTCCTCCTTTTTCTCCACATTACCGCTCCTCCCCCTACTGGCCCCCCTTCTCCTACGATGCGAGGTGGTGGCAGATGAGGGACTGGCGAATCCGGTGCATGCACTTGACTCTACAAGCGCCATGCGGCTTCGGGTGCGACCATGCCTCGGGGCGAGCGCATTGCGGCGTGGCCGAAGCCAGCTCCGTGCGGCAGTTTCCCCAAACGCCCTCGTCCCAGCCCTCCCCCTTCGAACCCCTTACCGCTCCTTCTCACTGGTTCACCCTCTCCCATATCCCACACCTCCTCCGACGTCGTGACCCCTTCCCCCGACGTGGGCCCCAGCATCTCGACCTCCTCACCCGAACCTGGAATGCTTTTTTCCGCGGCCTGCCCCTCGTTGCCATGCGACCTGCGACAACAGCGGCCTGCGCGTTTGGGTCCGGCCCCCGCCCCCGCGAGCCGCCCCCCCAAAATGCCACTATGCGGCGAGGGGTCGCCCTGGCGTGCAGCCTGGCGCGGGGAGGCGCGCCGCCGGACCGCCCCGGGTGCCGGGCTCACCGGCCGCGCGGGCCAGCCCCGCGCAGGGCCCCCTCGAGGCGGCCCCGCCGCCGGGCTCACCGACCGCGCGGGCCAGCCCCACGAAGGGCCCCGAGGCGTCCCCGCCGCCTCACCTCCCTGGCGGTCGCACCACCTCGGGGCCCGGCGGGCGCCCGCGCGCGCGGGGTGGGGCTTCGCGCGGAGCCGCGGGATGGTAGGAAGTCAGGGTTGAAGTCGGGCCAATCTGGGCGTCGCGGAAGAGCGGTCGCGCGGATACGTTCCGCACAGGGCACCCGCGAAAAAACGCACCGTATCCGCGAGGTCGCGGCCCAGGGGCCCGGCCCGCGAGGCCGCGGATACGAGTTGTTTGTATGGATGAGCCGTGTTTCCACCACCGATATCATATGTAAGAGAGGGGGGAGGAGGAGGAGGAGGAGGAGGAGGAGGAGGAGGAGGAGGAGGAGGAGGAGGAGGAGGAGGACGAGGAGCGGGAGGAGGAGGAGGAGGAGGAGGAGGAGGGAGGAGGGAGGAGGAGGAGGAGAAAGGGGGAGGAGGAGGAGGAGGGGGGCCTCCCCATCCTCCCTTCCCCCCCGTCCTACCTACGGGTAGTGATGGTGGACAATTGGCCCGCCATTTATATATACATATATATATGTATATATATAGATATATAGATATGTATGTATGTGTGTATATATGTGTGTGTATCTGGTCCCCTGGTGAGCCCGCTTGTCCTGCAAGGGTCAGCAGAGGGGGCAAACACCAGCAGGAAGCAGAGCCGCGCGCTCGGGCATGGAAATCTCTGGCCGGTGGCGGAGGGGCCTTCTGCCAACGCGGGCACATCCCCCCACAATCTCGCAGTGGTCTCGAGGCCCCCCTATGCTTTGGCAAGCAGATGCGCGAACCGAAGCGCGGGGTAAACGCAGACGGACAAACACGCTGTACAAGCAGAGGGTGTACGCATCGCACGATCTGTATAAGTGGGCAGTGGGAGAGCGTGATCTCCCACCCAGCCCCAAAGACAGCTCATCGGGCTTGCGATTCTGCTGCCTGCGCCCTCCTCCCTTCACTCCCTGGTCCCTACCTGGCCCCACTCATCTGACGCAGGAGCCCGGGCACGGCCTACACATCTGAGCAAACGGGTGTGCGAGCCCAGGTACAACACGCGCACGAGCCACACGCAAACTGCATCAATCTCAGAATTTCCTGGACCTTAAGGTGTGGTGGAATTCGAAATGGGGTCCACCTCGAAGACTCCAAGCACCGCCGGACATCGCTCAGTGGATTGCACATGTCGGCCATACTGTATTTCACAGTCTCCCATTGTTCATCTTGGTCCGATGGTGGTGGGCCAGACCATGACCACTCTGGGCTGTACCAGTATGTGCGTTCGCCACTGTGGTGCCCGAGTATCAAATGCCACTCAGCAATGTTAGACCCTGCAAGCCTTCCTCGCAATATGGTTTGAAAGAGATGCCAGCGTCTCAGACTCTCGAGCCCGTCGGGCATCTCAAAAATGTTGGCCATAACATCGTGCGATGGCTCTGGCAAAAATTCACGGACAACTGAAACCACAAAACGGAGCCCAAAGCCGGGGCCCCACCTTGTTTCGATTTTCAATACCGTGACGGGTGGAGAGAACGAAGAAGCCACCACGTTGACGACAATCCCTCTGGGCTCTGACTTGGGCCAGTCCACACCGACGGGAAAGACACGGTGAACGCGACTCTGGTACTCTGCGATTGACGGTGGCACGCCCAAGTTGATGAGCGTACAATGCGAGAGCGCGCAAAAGGGATCTCGCTGTCCCTGGTGATTGCAGCGCAGCGTGGAGACCCACTGCTGTTCCAGCGGCTCACGCTTCGCACGCGCTCGTTCACAATCGTAGAGTCCTCCGTTGAGCCGCAATGTGCCACCGAGCAACCTGCGTAGCACAATTCGATTGCGGTCTCAACTTCATACAAACCATGATCGTCGGGGCTGGACGCACAGAAAGGCACGGCGTAGTGCCAGAACTCCGCGAGAACGCTCAGGTGAAGTCAGCCAATGCAAGAGCGCGAGACTGCGCATCGACAGAAACGGCAGCACAGATACGTGTCAAGGAACGCTTGGCAGCACAATCAACAGGCTTGAACAAAGGGCAACGGATCCCTCCTAACGCCTGCGCATGTTCACAGCAGCACTTAGCTGCATCGACAAAATTGACACGCATGTGCACAAAACCTTTCAGGTACACAGCATCGGACAACTGGTACTCGTCCAACAAGTACTCATCTGGCACGGCGGCTTTCTCGATGTAGCGTCCGAAGAGCGTAATCACTCGCTGCGTGTCGCCCATTTAGTCCCAGTGCAAGGCCATGGCATACTGCGTGAGGCGGCTTCCACCCTCCTTAATGGAATCTTCACAATCTTGAAACGCCTTTTGCCAGCGGCCGCGGCCACGATTGAACCAGGCACGCATTTCGTACAACCGAGCCTTCCAAGCCGTCCATTTGCGATTGGATGGGTTGTCCAATGCGTTGATGCACGATGTAATAAAACGAACGTTCGCTTCTGTGTCCTGCGACCCTACACTGCATGATCAGCGCGGGCACATGTTGAGGGTCCACTCGACGCACTGCTTGGGAAGCGCGATGCATGGCCTCAATCAATTCAAACCACAGCGCTTCTGGACATAGACTGAAGGCCACATCAGTGATGACGAATGATTCGCGAAGATTTCCGTGGCCTTCTCGAGCATGGAACCGGCACGATTCATGAGCGTTGACGCGACATCCAAGCCCTCATGCAACCACATCGTGGCTTTCAACACTTGGATTGCAGTGCCAGATTCTGGGAGCTCAATCACATAGCCCAGTATTACAATCAATGTGGAAGACTTGTGCTTCTCAAGCTGAGCCACGTCGGATGCAGTCGCGATCACACTGACCATTTCCACGTCATCAACGAACCCGCCAGAACCCGTGAGACTATGCAGCGCCTGGCGTGTGCTCGAGGCCCCCGCGCGCCTCTCGAGCCACGCCTTGGACCTGTTGCTGCCAGTGAGGGCGAGGAAATCGGCAGCGGCGAGTCTCCACTTACTCTCGGCGGGGCCGTGCTTCCTCAGGAGGCCCACGAGTGCACGGTCGCCGCCGCCGAGTCCCGTTAGAGCGGGGCCCGCTGCTGCTATCACTTCTCCAGCGCTCGAGGAACCCGGAGACGGCTCGCAGTGGACATTGTTGTCACTCCCCTGCGCCTCGCGCTGACCAGGAAGCTCTCCGAGCCTTCCCTCTAATGAGCCCGCGGCGCTGCTCTGGCCCGAAGCCTTCCCTTCGACGTCTGCCTGGGCCGCGGCCCACGCTTCGGCGAGAAGTTCCCCAAAGCACCCTCGCCGCCCAAGTCTCTGAGCATGCGCTGGCCGTTCTTGGCCATGCCTGTCATGTCGGCAACGCGTGTTGCCACCACGGAATGCGCCAGCGATGCAGGGGGCGCCTGGGGCGCTCCAGGACGGATCATCTGGCTCAGTCGCAAAGCCAACGACAGCACTGGTTCTTCGGCGTGCTCCATGGCTAATGTGCTAATGCATCGGGTCGGCCTGGGAAACGCGCGAATCTAAATTCATTCAGCCCAAATGGCTGACTACTCTACCGATCGAGGGGGGTGAGGATTAGAGCGTGTGAGATAGCGATGACAAGGGGCCTGGGGGAAACAAACGAGTATATCGACTGCGCAGGAGACTGGATACTCAGAAGCTGGATAGAAACTGTCCGGTCAAGGACCTAGCATCCCACATCCGATGGAAAGGTCGATCTGCGGCGCAGTCGTCAGACCCCTCATGAAGCAAAACATCACATATGGCCAAGACCTTCTCAACACTTTCATCAGCTAACGGCACCAACAACCCGTGCTTGGCCATCACGAGGTTGAGGGGTGGGAGGATAAGAGCAGAATCTATTCACAGGCTTGAGCGAAATGAAGACTACGCAAGCGAGACAAACAACTCAGCCTAGTCCAAATGTTAAGCTATTCGCACCCTGACCGCGCACGCTCTATGTTACTTTGATCATTCACTGTACTATGCGATGACACGTTGGGCCGAATCATACCACTACATTGCTGCACAGTGGATCCGAGGAGTGAGCAGCCTAGGGTCGAAGGAGATACGAACATAAGGGTCCGTGTCCCCGGGCGAGGCGTCGGGTAGTGCTGCGGGCGAGGCGTCGGGCTGAGCCTGTGCCGTCTGAATGCTTTCTTGGGGCCACTTCCGGGGGGCCCTGGCTCTGGAGGGCTCTCTTGGGGCCGTCCTGGCGCCGTCGGGCCGTCTTGGGCGCCAGGCAGTGCGTCGGGTACGTAGGGCGTTTGTCTGACAGGGCGCCTGGCGGGGGGGAGCGGGTGCAGGGCACCGGGCAGGCTGGGCGGTGGGGGAGCGCCTGTGGCAAACGATGCACCACCGTCCCCAGGCGCTGCAGGACGGGTGCGGGAAGAGCGCGAAGAGGGGCCTGGTGTGGCCGACGCGTCTCAGTCTCCCCGCAGGCTGCGGCAACGAGGGGAGGGGTGCAGGCCAGAACTCTGCACTGGACGCTGCAGCGCATGCAGCCCGATGCTTCAATCAGAGAACAGGTGGATCTTGAGGCACTCGCACGTGGCACCGAGCTCGTCGGTCACAGGAGGGCCCCCCCCCCTGCCACGCGCGCCGCAGAACAACACAGTGACGCCAGAAGTTCCAGAACGAGAACCTATCTGGAAAGCGAAGGGGTTCGGCATGGTAACTGACTGGCAGCCCAGGAGGGCATGCATAGGAACACACACAAAGTTAAAGCGGCATGCGACGCATGCAAAGCGTAGAGAGTAGAAATATGACTACGTACCAGTGCGCGTATGCTGTGCACGTTCACACAGTATACTGCGGGTCGACTGCAGCGCACAAAGGTGGCAATTACGCAGCGACGTCGGGAGACGTGGGCTAAGACCTGTGAGAACCACGGCCTATGAGCACCTCAGCCTGCGTCTACATTGAGACGGGGCTGGTGAGGACGAGGAACCCAGGATCCAATGCATCCAGGCAGACTCCGAACCACAGGATAAGAGAGAAGGGACGAGAGGAGCAACTGGTGGACCTCGGTACCGAGAGGCAATGAGACGACCCGAGTCGCACCGACCCGGCATCGTGCCCGGACCGACTCCAGCGCCGAGTCGCTTGGCCGACGCGCTCCGGGAGAGGGAAGACCAGCTCCAGAGAAGCGGGTCCCGGCCCTGGCCCTGTCCTGAGGGAGACTTGTCCCGAGGGCAACGGGCGCCTGAACTCCCAGGACGAGCTCTTCATGTCGAATCGTTTTCTGACGGCCCTGGGGCCCGGAGTGGAAAGCTGAAAACGGCGAAAAACTGCGAGGGGGGAGGAGGAGGGGGAGGAGGGGGAGGAGGAGGAGGAGGAGGAGGAGGAGGAGGAGGAGGAGGAGGAGGAGGAGAAGGAGGAGGAGGAGAAGAGGAGGAGGAAGCCGAAAACGGCGGGCAGAAGGCCTCGGGGCCCGCTCCCCTCAGGGCCCGCTGCCCCCCCCCCCGCGCGGCGACTCCTCGCCCGGCGCAGCCCACCCCCCCCGAGGCGGGGCCCGAAGAGCCCGAGGCCGGCCACGAAGAGCCCCCCCCCCGCAGGGCACGAGGAGGCCTCGGCGCCTCGATCGGTGCGGCGCGCGAGGCGTCCATGGGCCTCGCCACGCCGCGCGCCCCCCGCCTCCTGGAGGCCTCCTGGAGGCCTCCTGGATGCGCGACGACGACGACGACGACGACGACGACGACGACGACGACGACGACGACGGCCAGCCAAGCCGTGGGGGGGCCAGGTCGCCGGTGCCTCGCCTGGGCGCCGCTCTCCTCTCGCAGGCGCAAGACGAGGCCAGGACGAGGGTAAGTTCGGGCGAGGGTGAATCGAGAATCTCTGAGATCCGGCGGCTCTGGAGGATGTCTCGGGTGCCGCGGCCTTCTCAGAGCGCTCCGCAACGGATTTATCGTCGTCCTGGTCCCGCCCGAGGGGTCCGAGTAGATGGAGTCCGAGTACATCGCGCCGCGTCGCCGATGCATCGGAGACTCGTCCCGCGACGTCGGCGACGCGTCGGCGACGTCCGCGTGGAGAGAAGCGTGCTCCACATCGGGCCGCATCGCCGATGCGTCGGCGGTGCGGCGCGACTCTCCAGCCCCATCCACCCTGGCCCCATCTGAGCGGCGAGAACTAATAACGGGTCTCACGCGAGGTGGCGCAGCGACCTGACGCGGTGGCTTGCGCGGGCCGCCAACGAGGCACGCTGCACTGCAAACGAGGGCGCTCACGCGCGACCTTACGCGGGCAATAGATCGTTTTCAATCATCGGCGAGAACCCGGGTTGTCCGGAGGGGACAGGAAGGGAGGTGCCCGCCGATAACCAAACCTCTTCGCTTTGGGCTCAGCCCGCGCGCGCCAGCATTGCGTACCCCTCGGACCTGCGCAACCGACAGGGTCAAAATCTCCTTGGGGGTTGGGCGGGGCGGGCGGGCCCGAGGTCCCGCGTTTATCGCTGGACCCGACACTGAAACAGTCTCCAACCTGCGCGCGATTGTAGGAACATGGGAAACGACACCAACACTACCAGGGACCACAGTGGTGTGCCCCCCCCCCCCCCCTCTCGCTCGGCGCATCCCCTGGCCCCAGCTCGGGGAGGCATCGTGGTGACCTCCTTGCTGGAGGTGCCCCCCTGGTGGTGCTGGTGCTGGCTTCTCCTTCCCCCCACCGCATGTCGGTGCAGACGACCCCGCTGCGTTGCGCCGCTCCTCTGCCGAGGCGCAAAAAGGCCCCTCCCCCGAGGCCGCCGCCGGCGGCCGCGCCACGGGCGCCCCGAACGCGGCCGGGGAGACCATGCCCAGCGGGTGCCCGGCGAGCGCTCCTGTGCACGCCGCTGCCGCGGGCAGGGGCACGACGGCTGAGACGCGCGCCCCGATTTCGGCGGCGAGCCCACGGGGGAAGGGGCGGGCCCTCTCTCCGAATGGGACGCACAAAGACATACTGATACTACATGTCCTCCTTGGAGGCGCGAGTCCGACCTGAACATCTGGTATAGTACCCATCGTATGGTAAATCGTTTCCCGAGCGGCGAGGCCAGAAAGCGCCCGCCACGACGCACTTACTATCAGATTTCTCGGTGCGCGCGTCGCCCCTGGGGGGGCGGCGCACACTTAGTATTACAAGGTTAGGGTGACGCCGACAGAAGGCTCGGAAGGCCTCGGGCCGTCCGAGAAGTTGTCTAAGTCTTCCCCGTGGGCACAAAAGCACTTCTCAGAAGGCTGGAGGGCTTCGGAGGAGCCCCGCCGCCTTCTGAGAGAGACTTCTCCTTTTCACTTCGGCCCCTCGTTCGCCGCCGACGATCGGCCGAGGTGATTGGGAGCCACTGGAGCCCTTAGGGGGATCTACAGAACGAGTTGGCGGCGAGCGCCCTTGGCCTCGTGTCTGCTTCCTCCCCCTCCTCCTCCTCCTCCTCCTCCTCCTCCTCCTACTCCTCCTCCTCCTCCTCCTCGTCCTCACATCCTCGTCCTCGCCCTCGTCTTCCTCCTCCTCGCCCTCCTCCGCCTCCTCCTCCCTCCTCCTCCTCCTCCTACTCGTCCTCCTCCTCCTCCTCCTCCTACTCGTCCTCCTACTCGTCCTCCTACTCGTTCGCCTACTCGTCCTCCTACTCGCCCACCTACTCGTCCTCCTACTCGTCCTCCTCCTCCCCCTCCTCCTACTCTTGCTCCTCCTCCTCCTCCTACTCTTGCTCCTCCTCCTCCTCCTCCTCCTCCTCCTCCTCCCCTTCCTCCTCCTCCTCCTCCTCCCCCTCCCTGGGTCTCCCATGTCCGTGCTGTTCGCGTGCATTGTGAGGAGGCAAAGGCGTGTCCACATGTGTCCCTTCTTGTCCCTCTTTGCCCCTTTTTAAGCTTGGAATGTCATTAGATAACTCTCAGATCCCTCTTGGTCCCGTCTTGCCATAACCTCGTGGGGATACGTTTTAATGGTGCTGTGTTCATTAGTTATGGCTGGTTGGTTGCAGTTGGTCTGTGATGGTGGGTTACTGGTGGTGCTGACTATGACTGTTGGCCTCGACGATGAATGCTTTTAAGTGTCGGTGATGGTTGGTGAGGGCTGGTGGGCAAATCGGCGACGGCCAGTTGCCGTGTCGATGAGAACAAAGAAAAGTGAGATGATGACGGATGACGAGCATCGGAGGATGAGGAGCGACGAATAAAATAGGCTGGGGTCGTGGAGGAATGCGTTCGGAGAGGGGATGTGGTGGACCAGCGAGCAGGGGAATGGAAGGGGAGATAGAGAAGTGCAGAAGTTCGGACCCGTCCTCCTGCTGCTCCTCATGCTACTGCACCTTCTATATTCAACTTTCTTTCCTGGTCCTGCTCCTTCTTCTGGCGTGCTCCTGTTCTCCGTCTTTCTGATCCTCCTCCGCCTGATCAGTGTCTCCATCTTCCGGACTGCATGGTCGGCATGGCTGGTGTCCTTGCGTGTCCCGGTTGTTCACTTGTTGTCTTTGCGTGTTCGCAAATGTTCCTCGTGCCCCATTTTGTCTTGTTTGCTGCGCTAGACAGCGATGGTGTCCTACAGTGGTTGATGCTGGCGATGATTTGCTGATGTGTCATGCAACAATTGATTAATGATAGTTCGCGGATGTGTGTTACGGGTTAGGAGAAGAAGGCTGTAGAGCATGTGGTGTGGAGCCTGTTTGGTAAGCTCATCGTGGGGAGGGAGCCTGTTGAGTATTGAGAGTGCTGTTGGAGACGGAGGCTCTGCAGTCCTGTGTGTGGTGTTGGAGACGACGGGTGCTGAGTAGTCAAATCTTTTTTCAAGTTCATCCTTGGGGGGAGCCTGTTGAGTATTGAGTGTGGTGTTGGAGACGGGGGCTATGAAGTACTGTGCGTGATGGTGCAGACTGCGGGCTTTGCGTAGAAGGATCTTTTCAAATTCAACTTTGGGACAGGGCCTGTGGAATATTGGGTCTGGTGTTGGAGTCGGGAAAGAGCGTGTTCTACCGCTGCTGGCGGAAAACCGGGGGGGGTCACTACCGGTTCGAACCCCTCCCCCCCCCCCTCCGGAAAACCGGGGGGGTCACTACCGGTTCGAACCCCTCCCCCCCCCCCCAGTTCATCATGAAAAGGGGTGGGGGGTCACTACCAGTTCGAACCCCCCCCCTCCCTCGAAAACCGGGGGGGGTCACTACCAGTTCGAACCCCCGCGGACAGTGATGGGGACGGTGGTGGTGGGGACAGTGGCGAGGGGACAGCGGGACAGTGGTGGGGATAGTGTGACAGTGGTGGGGACGATAGTGGTGGGGACAGTGGTGAGGACAATGGTGGGAACAGTGGGGACAGTGGACAGTGGTGGGGACGGTGGTGGTGGGGATAGTGGTGTGGGGACAGTGGGAATGAGGTGGAAACAGTGGGACAGTGGAGGGTACAGTGGTGGTGGGGACAGTGGTGAAGGCGGTGGCGAGGACGGCGGTGGGACAATGGGACAGAGGTACAGTGGGGACAGTGGTGGGGACAGTGGGGACAGTGGTGGGAACAGTGGAACAGTTCAGTGGGACAGCGGAGGAGTCAGTGGGACAGTGGGGACCATGGGGATAGTCGGGCAGTGGTTGGGGGTGTGGAGAAAGTGGGGAGAGTGTAACCGTGGTGGGAACAGTGGTGGGGACAGTGGGGACAGTGCGACAGTGGTGGGGGCACTGGTGGGGACAATAGGGACGGTGGTGGAACCAGTGGGGACAGTGGTGGTGAGGACAGTGGTGCTGGGAACAACAGTGGGGGATGCGGTGTGGACGGCGGTGGGGACCAGGAGTCGTTTGCTAGCGGTGAGTGGCGCGGCTGGGGAGGGGTTCGAACTGGTAGTGACCCCCCCTCCGGTTTTCACGGGGGGGGGGGGGTTCGAACCGGTAGTGACCCCCCCGGTTTTCGAGGGGGAAGGGGGGGGGGAGGAGGGGTTAGGGGAGGGGTTAGGGGAGGGGGGGGGTTTTGCCGGGGGAAGGCAGGCGGGGGGGGGTCCAGCAGGGGGGGGATTTTCGGAGGGGGGGGGGGACCCCCGGGTTCTGGAGGAAAAGGGTGGCAATTTTCCGCAGTAAAGCGGCGGTGGATCACGCTCTCTCGGAGTCGGGTGCTGTGGGATACTGGTTTTGTGGTGGTGGAGGCAGGAGGGAATTGAGTATAAGGATCGTTTCAAGTTCATCTTGGGGAGGGATCCTGTTGAGTGTTGGATTTGTTGGAGACGGAGGCTGTAGAGTACTGCGTGTGGTGATGGCGACAGGAGTGAGCTAAATAGAAAGATCTGTTCAAGTTCATCTTCGGCGAAGGGGGGCCAGTTGAGTATGGGATGCAGTGTTGGTGACGGAGGCTGTGGAGCCCTGGGTGCGGTGGTGGGGACGGAGGGAGTTGAGTATAATGATCGTTGCAAACTCATCCTCGAGGGGGACGTGTTGGGTATTAGGTGTGGTGTTGGAGACGAACGCTGTGGAATACTGGGTCTGGCGGTGGAGACGGAGGGAGTTGAATACAAGGATGTTTTCAAGTTGACCTTGGGGAGGAAGCCTGCTGAGTATTGGGAGTGCGATTAGAGACGGAGGCTGTGGGGTACTGGGTGTGGTCGTGGAGACGGAGGGAGTTGAGCAAAAAGGTCTGTTCAATTTCAACTTGAGGAGGGAACCTGATGAGTATTGTTTGTTGGAGACGGAGGCAGTGGAATACTTGGTTTGGTAGTGGAGACAGAAGGAGTTGAGTAGAAGGATGGTGGAGCTGGTGAAAGTGGCTGCACCTAAAGGAGCAAACATCGTTCCGAACTGGGACCGGCACACTCTTGTACACATGAGCTTCAACAACTGATTGTGAACACCGTGCGAATAAATTACGCGTTCATGTATGAAGTGCGCAAATGGGGTGTCATGGTGCTTGTGGACGGCGATATACACATGCATCTATACACATATACATATATATATATATATATATACACATGCGTGTACATGTACATGCATGTGATATGGATGTACATGTATATACATTTGTCTATGTCCACGTACGTGTAACATGCACCACACAAGATCATTATTACGAGTTGTGCTACATTTGGTGCTGATTGCGTCTGATGGCTGATGGTGGTGAACTTCCCTTGCATGTTGTACTATTTCTTTCTCGCTTACTTAGGATACACGCCGTTTGCAAACGTTCCTGCTTATGTCTGTGAATTCCTACGCATGTCCGTGAAGCATTGCGATTTCTTGGAATGGTGCAATTTCAACCAGAAGCTGACCAAGAATTGTCTACGCAATCCTCGTGGCCGGCGCGAGAAGATCGACGCGCGGGGCGCGCGGCTGGATGGCCGAGCTCGGGGACCCAATGTCCGAATTTTGGGCCCGAGTGGGCCCAAATGTCTGCGCTCATGGGCCCGATCGGGGCACGATGTCCGCGTTTTCGTTTTCGCGCTGTGGGACGCGACTGTTCTCGAGGAGAGGAAATAACCATTGTAGTTTCAACGGGAACATGCCCAGTGTCCGGTCCGCGTTTTTGCGCCTCGTCGGTCCCGATGTCCGCGGATTTGGGCCGCGCGGGGCCGCGATGTCCGCCAAAGCGGGCCGCGCGAAGACCCCAATGTCCTCCTTTCCGGGCGCCCACGGCGACCGATGTCCGCGCTCGTCGGCCCTCTCGGGGCCCCATTGTCCACGCAACTGGGCTCCCGCTAGAAGTATCTGAAGAGACCATGATAGAAAACATCAACAACCAGATACAAACATGGACATAACAAATATGGGCAACAACGGACAGATAGGGACAAACACGAGGGAACACATAGGGACATAAAAGGGACACACACACGGATAAAAGGGGACAAACCGAAACAAACAAGGAACGCATAAAC